ATTCATATACTTCTTTATAAATAAGAAAACCTCCAAAGCTGCAAACATATTTCCTCCAAATAAAAGTTTGAAGTCAAAAGGGTTTTTGCATTTGTCTCTGTGATAACAAATCTAATGATTAGATTAACTAATACGTATAGCAACAGACAGCTCTCACAAGCTGTTAAGAAAGCACAGTAAATATTATGATTGATAATGCTGAAGAATGTATTGAAAAGGCCTTTGTATATTGATCATATTTATATTCCTCAGTACAGTAAATCATTTGAGCCTGCCACTTGCTATTTATGAACAATGTATTTCTGTACTCTGCTTTTTAAAGCAGTAGTTCCTTGAAAAGTGTAATTTAGTCACTACGAAATGTACTGTAACACTTAAATTTATTATGGATCTTATCTTCGGATAAGTCTTCTGATACTTATTTAAAAGTATCATGTAGTTTTGTATATGAACAAATAAAGCTTATTTCTTTTAATGCTGAGCAGACAATAGAGGATCTGTTCTTAAAGCAATGAATAAAAGTCTTTAAAGAGCTTGACATTGTTCTGTTATTTACACATTGTGATCTGTAAATGAAAATTCAGTCCAATGCTGCTCCGAAATGTATTACCAAGACCAACGGTATTATGACACTGTGACTACTTTAATTGTGGGTGTATCTTGTCCTTTAAAGGTGTGGAAAGCACTCCACAAATACTTCTGTAATAACTAACCAAAAATTGCCTTTGAAACATCTGGGAACTTGTCTGCTACACCAAAGGAAGCGTGAGTGTCATGTTAAAGTAATCCAATATACTTCCTGTGGAGATAACTGCTCACTTTTCCTGCAATGCAGAACAATCTTAGAATGTTCTTCTTTGACTTTGTTACATAAACAACATTTTTTGTAATCAAACAGGAGACATTACTACAAGAAGAACAGGCTACCTAGTAACTGCTTCGGGGGACAGTGCTGACTTTCTGGCATACAAAGGGAGGTGTCTCACACAACCACCTCAGCCCTCAATGAAAGTAACAGCGCTCCAGTTATCTCTTAGAATAGTGTTACTACTATCCCCACAGTCCCAATAGGAGCCCTTCAAGGAAAAAAAACCCTAAAAGCCTATAATATTCTTCACTAGCAGACCTCCAAAGAACCCCCTGTTTTAACCCAGACGTAGGTTTACCATTGTAGGAGTGGATGAGCTACGGTAGATAGTTCTTCCCAGAGGGTTTTGGGAGGTTGCCAGAAGCTCAGCAATGGCTGCCAAGGAACCCCCATCTGTGAAGTTGTAGGCCTTTCATGGCCGGCATCTATAGTTTTTTGTGGGTTTTTCGGGTTGTGTGGCCATGTTCTAGAAGAGTTTCTTTCTGACGTTTTGCCAGCATCTGTGGCTGGCATCTTCAGAGAACCCCCATCTGTTTCCTTTACAACTTTTTCACAACCACAGACTCTAGCCAGCAACATCTGTGGGTCCTTACTGTTTGCAAATACGAAAGACTGTTGCTGATCTTGTGCCACACATTTCATTGTTGGGAAAAAGCTTCATTACAGTCATCCACCTGTCTCTCCTGTGCCTTTTGAATGCGTGGGCTCAGAAATTGTTCAACAATTCCCAGACTTTGGCAATATTTAGTTAATTGTTAAAAGTCTTGATTTGCTAGATTCCCTCCGAAATGTGTCTCAACTTTTGATTAATCACACACTTTAATGAGCGAATTTATTTAGATTATTAGAATTTGTTAGAATGAGGTACATCTATACCAGATTCAGTAAGAAAGGAAGACCCTGGCATTAAAAGGATTAAAGGAAGTGCATCTCATGACTGCTGCTAGGAAAGTTGGGAAGCATTTGGAGAAAAGAAAAAATACAGTTGTCCCTCCGTTTTCGTGGGGGATATGTTCCACCCAGTCCCCTGCAAAAATGGAGAATCACCAATATTCAAGCCCCATAGACTTGAATGGGGTGTCTTCCTGCTGGCACATGCCCCATTGAAATTAAAGGAGGTTGCCCCTCCATGAATATTTGAGTCTGTGGATCTCAATTCCATGAAAGCGGAGGGGCGACTGTATTGCACTCAAACCTATAGCTTTCTAGGGGAAAACAAGAGGGGAGGCTATCTCAAACAGCCAGGACTTTCAGAATGACAGGGTTTTCTGGCTTGAAAGACGTATTTCTGCCCTGCCTCTCATACTGAGGTTGTTGGGAGTCTAATTTTTTTGGGGTAGCAAATGTTTTCTAGTTGACTTGGTTTGTAATGTATATTATTGTGTAACATACTATTTTGTCATATGTTACTGAGTGGGCTGCAATAAACCCTTGTATGCTTTTGATGTTTTTATTATTGCTCATACATTAATTACTAGGCCCCTGGAAAACCAGGTAGTAATTTTCCCACACCGATCTATCTATTTGCTTTGCTCTTGGCTTCTCTCCCTCCGCCTTCCCACCACTCCTGCTTTCCATTCACCTTCTCCTATAGCGGGTCGAGTGTTTTGAGAGATTTGGATGGAGCTATTGAGTCCATTTTGTAGCTAAGGAAAGGAAGGAGTCAGGTTTCAAGGCTTGGCTATAAGCTCAAGTTGCCAGAGTAGAGTCTGTTTTGAAAAACAGACCGATCAATTTTATTATTAATTTACATCTCACCATTCTTTCTTTAAGGAACGCGGTGGCTCACTGATTAAGACACTGACTCTGATGAATGCAAGATCAGAAGGTCATCAGTTCGAGACCCAAGCACCGCATGATGGAGTGAGCTCCCATCAATAGTCCCAGCTTCTGCCAACCAAGCAGTTTAAAAGCATGTAAAAGTGCAAGCAGATAAATAGGTACCACTTTGGTGGGAAGGTAACAACGTTCCATGCCGCCATGCTGGCCACATGGCCATGGAGTCATCTTTGACAACGTTGGCTCTTTGGCTTAGTAACAGAGATGAGCACCTCTCCCTACGGTCGGACACGATTATACAATCTTCTCAAGGCAAAACCTTTACCTTATCTAGCCTATTCTCCCAAATGGGACCCAAGGCAGTTTACAGCATGAATTGAAATATTAATTAAGATTAGTGATAAAAAGTTACAAATGAAAGTTAAAACCATGACAATAAAAAAATGCTGTACATTAACCCCATTAAAGACCTTGACCAACATCTTCCATCATCAGACATAGCTTTGACAACGGAGCTCCAGCATTGTAGCTAATTTTAATGATCAATACCTCCCTCTTAAGCCAGACAACATCCAACCCAAGGGTTTCTGAGGCACTACAGATTGGGGTGCTGGGAAATTAGGCCTGCAGCACTGTCCCAGTTTCAGAACATATTGAGATGTCCAGCTCTTTCTCCATGACTGGGAAAGAGCTGCAGCCATCATTTCTCAGCACTCCAGTTTGCAGCATCTCAGGAAGTTCTGCTTGGCTTAAGAGATAGGGTTGTTTTTGGTTCACAGACAGTCATTAACAACTGTAAATGTGAATCCCCAAAAATATGAAATCATCAGTCTGGCTTACCCTCTCAGAAATAGCAGCCAGGGCAATCAGCCCTTGTTAAATTAATAATTTAACAAAATTATTTCACCCATTAGTATTAGTGGGAACAAATTAATCTTCCCGTTTCTAATGGTTCACATTATCAAATTAATTTTTAAAATCCAACATTAATGACCATATTTTACCATTTTCCCAAAAGCTCTGTGCTGTGTGCAAAAACTAGTCACACTGATTTTGCTGCAAGATTTGCAGAAATGGGGGCTTTCCTCTGAAATGAATGATGCTCATGCCCAGATGGCCTTGTGTGTTGTTTTGTTTGGATTGCAAAACAATTTTAAGTAGTCTGTCCTTGCTACCTCCTTTGTATCTTTATGCAGGGGAAAATTTGTAGGGTCAAAGACAGGACATCTACTCCTTGCTATCCTAAATCCAAGTGATTGGTTTCAATTAATATTTGATTATAATCTAGATGGCTAATCATCCCACGAAGGAAAATACCTCCCACCTCTGTTATTTAATCATCTTTTTGTTGCCTTTAACTTTGACTTACAGGAACCCTAAGGCAAACCTATCGCAGGGTTTTCTTGGCAAGATTTGTTCACAGGGAGTTTTCCTTTGCCTCTCTCTGAGGCTGAGAGAGTGTGATTTGCCCAAGGACATCCAGGGTGGTCCATGGCTGAACGGGAATTTAAACCCTGGTCTCCCAGAATTGCCTTCCCTCCTCTTCAGAAAAACAACAACAACAACAACACACACACACACTCCTCCAATGCGTGTGACTATACTTGGGGAATATGGACTCCATGTAGCCAAGCTACCACACACATAGAGCTTGGATAACTTACTGTTTTGGACTACAACTTCCAGAATATCTCATGAACAGTGGCTGTTCTGGAGATCTGGGAAGAGCGAATCCAGAAAGATAACATTTGGGTCAGGCGTAGGCAACCTTTTTGAGCCGGGGGCCGGGTTGCTGTCCCTCAGACAATTGGGGGGCCAAAGCACCAAAAATAAATAAATAAATAAATAAAAATATTTTTTAAAAAAATTAAAAAAATATGCATGCACACTCTCTCAACCCCAGAAAAACCATGGCAAAACCCCTGTGGAGATTTTGCCAAGAAAACCCCAAGAACAAGTAATAACAACAATAATATCATCATGGTGGGCGATGGCAGCGGTGGCAGCAGGACCGGCTTGGGGCCAGTCCAAAGGCCTCAGGGGGCCACATCCGGCCCCCGGGCCTTAGGTTGCCTATCCCTGATTTGGGTGCTTTAGGTGTGCCAGAGCTGACAGTGTCATAAAGACAGCGGGAGGAACCAGGTTGCTACTGGTGCCATAATTCAAGGTATAAGAAACAAACAAAGCCAAAACAAAGTTGAAATAACAAAGCTGCCATGCCATGGCAATGCAATGTTGGAGGCACATATTGGAAGAAGCATTATGAGGACAGCTATCATAGAATGTCCTCCTCATATAATGCATTGGAGACAGAACAAGAAATAATTAATTCACAGATTATAAGGAATTTGTAGCCAGTGTGGTGTAATGGCCAGAATGCTGTACTTTGACTTTGGCAGACCAGGGTTCAAATCTCTGCTGTGGAAACCCACTAGTTGAGCTTGGGCAAATCACACTCCCCCAGTTCGCCTCAGATAAAGTCAACCATGCTCTGAACAAATCTTGCCAAGAAAATCCCATGACAAAGTTGCCATAGGGTCACCCTAAGTCAGAAAAGACTTGAAGGCATATAACAGCAACAACAATAACACAACAACAATATGTAGAGAGATCTTGTAGCACCGTTGAGACTAACTGAAAGAAAGAAATTGGCAGCGTGAACTTTCGTAGACCAGATAGTCTCAAAGGTGCCACAAGATCTCTCTACATACTGATTCTATAGACTAACATGGCTATATCTTTGAATTCAACAAAAATATGTGTGGCTGATCACTTTTTAAATTATAGTGGACCCTTGGTATCTGCTGGGTTTCAACACACAAACACACACACCAAAATCCGTGGATGCTCCAGTCCCATTAAACAGAACGGCATAGTGGAATTGTGTCCCTTATATAAAATAGCAAAATCAAAGTTTGCTTTTTGGAATAATAATAATAATAATAATAATAATAATAATAATAATAATAATGTTTTTGTATGATGTTTGTTTGATGTTTGCCCCTCTGCAACACAATCGGGGTGGCTTACAACAGTTAAAAACACCAATACATATATCAATTCCCTAGCCCACCCTCCCCTTAAAACAATATTAATATCCTTTGGGAATATTTTCAAACCGTGGATGGTTGAATCCATGGGTAAAGAATCTGTGGATATGGAGGGCAGACTGTACACTAAATGATAGAACTGGTTGCCTTTTGGGAATAAGTAGCTCAGCAAAGTGGGATTTTCTTAATTTTCTAACAGCAATTCTCTATACATAATCTGAAAAAAAGCAGGATAACAGATTTTGAGGCGAATACTGGAGTGTGGAAGTTTTTGTTATGGTCCTAACCAATGAAATAAACCAATTTTTCTTGGCAAAGTGGCTCGTGTATAACTCATAGATCGCTCTGCTTTCAGGATACAAGCTACAGTTACTCACACGGGTCCTTCATATGTCATACCACGGTCAGTGAGACGATACTCACCCACACACCACTTGAAAACGCCACACTATAAATCCCTCTGCATTTCTGTGCATCCAGTGTCTGAGGGAGTAAAGCAATTGCATTACTGAGTACCGAAGTATCTGGTTATCAAAAACAGTTGCTAAAGCCGTGTGCCTGGCTTTTACCCACAAAGGTGGATATGCTCTCTGTTCTTATATATGTGATGCAGCATGTAAATACATTAAAGTATTTTGGACATCTGCTTTCCAATTACCACCTATAACCAAAGAAATAAGAACCAACATGTCTTTGGAGTTTATCAATCAGGAGGGATCCCATGCAAAAATAGAATTTAAACCGGAAAAAAACAACAACAACCCAAAAGCAGATTGATTTTCAGACAACGTCAGGGTCAATGAGCATTAGGAATTAACTTGGACAGAAAGCTGACAAAATGCACTGCTTTTTACTTTTGGAAAATCCCAAAAGTTAAAAGTGGCATGTTTTGTCGGCTTTCTGTTTGGGTTAATGTCGCTTTAATGCTCATTAACCCCAATGTGTCTGAAAATCAACCCACTTTTGTGGGTTTTCCCCAGGTTTTAAATCCTGTTTTTGCACAGGATTTGGGCATTTGGCCTCCTGTGTGACAAACTCCTTTGGTCTATTTTCTATAACCCAGAGAAGCAGTTATTGAATGAGGATCTAGATTTGGGGGTCTGGAGGTTTTGCTTGCTGATAGTAGCAGCGAGGGTGAAAGTAGTGCAGTATTTGAAACCAAGTAGAGGACATACATCAGGTGAATGGTTTCCCAAGATCTGGGCAGCAATCTAGCTGAATGGTGACAGATCCATCAGAAGACAGATCCATCAGAAGAACAGTGTAAAAGGAAAGGTTAATGACAACATAATTTCTCTTTATAAGACATTAGACATTAACGAATTCTCATACCCACTAGGTAGTCATGTACCTGAAAAGGTATAATAGATAGAAAATTAAAGCAAGAGAGGTATGAGTAGCAATTGAGATGGAACTTACATGTGTGTGCCTTCAAATTGCCTGTCGAGTTAAGGCAACCCCATGAGTTTTATAGGTTTTTCTTAGGCAAGGACTATTCAGAGGTGGCTTTGCCAGTCCCTTCCCCTGAAATACAGTCTATGTGCATCACCTGGTATTCACTGGCAGTCTCCCATCCAGATACCAACCAGAGCTGACCCGGGTTAGCTTTCAGGATCAGTCAGGATCTGGTGCCTTTAGGGTATTTAAGCCACTAAAGTTACCTTACACCCGTCTAAATAAACCTCTAGAAGCCTCCTAACTCTGCTATATATCTGACAATATAAGACAAAATTCATCTATTGTGTCCTGTTGATAGTCTGATTATGTTAAAAACATGTACCTAAGGACAAATAAATAAATAAATAATAAAAACAATTCATATATTTAAAATAATAACGTTAAACCCTTTAAACCTTAGAACAGCAAATAAAGGATGGGTGGGATTTGGGATTGTTATGTTCTGTTTAGATTGTATTAATATATCTGTATGGAAATTTTAATGTTGTAAGCTGCCTCGATTGCTCTGCAGAGGGGCGGGATATAAAATTATTATTATTATTATTATTATTATTATTATTATTATTATTATTATTATTAAAGGCCCCATGTATACCTGTTTTGTATTTATTTTCTCATCAGCTGTATCAGTTTTACCGAAATCAAGTGACTGCAGGATAATAATAGCTCACAGATTCCCTCTTCTCAAACATCATACAAAAATAGTTTTCTTTCTTTAATTGATCCCCCTTCCCAACACTCCCATAACATAAAATGTATTCCCAAATAAACCTCTCACATGGCCAAAGTATGAACAGCTTGTTTTAAGGCCATGATGTGAGCAGCTTCTAGTATGGTATAATCTGTTTACAGTTTGCCAGCATGTACCATTTTTAGCCTATTTTTCTGCCTCCTTCGGTTTTTTTGCAGGAGAACATATTGCAGCTACCACAGGCTACTCTACCTCTTACCTATGGAATTTTGTTTTGATTTCTTTAAATATGAACTCCAGATACTGAAATCTGCAAGGCTGCAGCATGTAAGAAACAAATCCGTCCCTCTTTGGTCTGCCCTTCTTTTACCTTTGCTGTTTATTTCGTTTAATTAGCCGGAGATTGGAAATCCTAAACAAACCAGTGGGAAAGACATTACCTCCCTGCTAGAATCTTTTTTAGCCCTTGTGTGGAGACTTATGCTTCCAGCTTTTGTAAATTTTGGGTGAGTGTTGAGAGACAATTCTTCAGCATCGCTTGCCTTAAAGAGGAAATACAGACAAAGGGATGTGGCAGTGGAGCAGCCTGTGGTTAAGCAAAGACTTACACAGATGAAGAAAAACCACTGAGGACAAGAGGGTAGTTCAGAAGTCAACAAAACTGTTGTTAAAATACGATGCTCTGTAGAGACTGAGGAAAAAAAGGACTTCAGGTTGGCAAAGACGTTGGAGGATCAAGGAAATCGAGGTGAAGCATGAACCGTGTATGCAGCATCTCTCAAGAACACTGTAAGTTCTCCTTATAAGCATTTGCAAAATTATACAAATTAGAAATCATCCAGCCTGTAACAAACCACAGTAATTGATGTAGCTAATTATTAAATCTATATGCAGCATTAGTTGCATTACACTGCAAAACTGATGCTGAAATAGGACAGAAACCTGACAGTAGTAATATTGGCAAAGCTCTATAAATAGAACCAAATCTAATTACTATGATTAGAACCTTTTAATCCGTTTTCAAAAATCTAGTGCCATAAAATATATATGTATGTATATGTATGTATATATATGAAGAGTTGCAGGATGAGTTACATTGCCAAATACCAATGTAAAAACAAGGCTGTTGGGAAATATCATTATGGTCTGCAAAGCCAACCTGTAAAACGAGTTGCTTGTACACCATACTTGTTATTTTGTTTTGCTTTCTGTATCCTTGGGTCAACATTTTCCAATCTGCAAATGAGTTTGGTCCTCCAACTAGATTCTTAGTGCAAGCTGTCACCGGATCATTACGTGAAACTGAGAATATTTTTATTATTCTGAATGTTTACTTTGCATTGTGTTCAGAATGAAAAAAAGTCAACTAATCTCCCCCAAAAATCTTCTTTCCAGCTTTGCACCAATGAGGAATACAAGAATATATCATAAAAAACAACTGCAATTTACATTTTTTGGTATATCCTCACTGACTTCAGAATTCTTAGAAATGGATATGCTTTATGGAGAAAAGAGTTCTATGGACCAAACAGCAAACACCTTGCTACAACTGGACCAAGACAGAAAACTCTGCAGAAATATGTTGGTTTCTAAAGAGATTAACATGTCAAGTGTGTATAATCTGACCTTGTATATTGAAGATGTAATGAATTGCTCTTGCGAGAAGAGTCTCACTCCACTCTGCAACACATCTGTTCATGAAAGCAGTCCTCTTCATGAGAAAAACTGGCCTGCTTTGCTAACAGTCATTGTGATGATTCTAACCATTGCTGGAAATATTCTTGTCATCATGGCTGTATCATTAGAGAAAAAGCTGCAGAATGCTACGAACTATTTCCTCATGTCACTTGCCATAGCTGACATGCTCTTGGGGTTTCTTGTCATGCCTGTATCAATGCTGACCATACTATATGGTGAGTACAGCAGCAGCCTGTTAAATACTCTATGTATTTTGGGCAAACCTAAGCTAATATAAATACAAGTTAAAAGAGACGTCTCTCATGAATTATGTAAATATGCAAGTCACAAGTCAAGTCAGTGCATCATTTATTGCAGAATCATGTCCAAGTCAATTATGCACTGACTTGAGTCTTGTGAACTGCACTGCAAAGTAGAAATTGTACATCTGCTCCCAGTTCCAATGATGGAACTACTTCTGTCTGTGGATTATAGAGGGTAAGGTAGACCCTTCCCTGAAAACTGTTTTTGCTGAAGGGCTGGAAAATGC